TCTTTTACGTTATTTGATTCTTTTCTTTTACGTTATTTGATACGTATCTTTCAGGACATGAGGGTAGAGTAGGAATGGCTGCACTTTTGCTGCAAGATGGTCAAAATTTTGATGGAGCCAGGACCTACGAGGTTGTACAATCCTATCTCCCCAGCTATGCAAGACCTCGATTTCTCAGAATCCAGGTGAAATGGAGTACAGAGCATTTACATTTAGGCCAGAATTCCTTGAAAAGTTTATTCTTTTTTTTTTTTTTACATAATTTATGTAAATCTATGTTTTTCCCAATTTTCTCATTGTGAACCCCAGAGTTACCTGCCTGTCACTGCAACATTTAAGCAGATGAAGGTAAAGCTGGCGGAAGAAGGCTTTGACCCAGGTGTGATTCAGGATCCTTTGTACTTTCTGGACGACAGCAAGAAGAGCTATATTCCACTGGCACAGGAGGTGTACGAGTCAATAAGGGACGGCACGGTGAAGCTGTGAACCATGTGCGATCTGGGGAATTGAGCTTTNAGCTATATTCCACTGGCACAGGAGGTGTACGAGTCAATAAGGGACGGCACGGTGAAGCTGTGAACCATGTGCGATCTGGGGAATTGAGCTTTTAATGACAACAAATAATGAGAATACTTTCAAATTTGTGACGACTAAATTTAGTATAGAGAGAAAGCAGCAGGAATGAAAGCTTTTGCAAAATGCATTTGAACAAAAAGTAAGAATTGCCCAATTAAGGAATCATCAGTCATGAATAAATAATTTATGGATGGCAATCATATTAGTGTTTTGTGAAATATTTCCACAAGTATTGCCTTAAAAATGTGAATATAGTTGGAAAAAATTGTTAATAAAATGTTTTGAATGTTACACAATTTGTAGAACTTTTCTAAAATGAAAAGGCAATATTAGTGTCAGTCTGTATTAGGTAAATGATTATGAAAGATAGATGGACAGATGGATGGATGGACAGATGAATATATGGAAGGAAGGAAAAGGCAATAATGCACTGGCATGATTGATGAAGATTAAAGAAATAATGGTTTAATAAGCTGAATACCTGCCAGTAATTATTTATAGTTCTTCAGCGGCATTCTCTAATTAATCTAGTATGTTTTCTAAATGACCGTAAGGATGATGCGGTAAATTGAGCAGGTTTTTCCAAAACTGATCTTAAGTTAAAGCAGAGCTCACTCTGCTGCAGGCAAACCAAGGTTTGTTAAATATCTGCAGAGCCATGAAGGAGCAGCATGGCCGTATGACGCCACACCGAATCCCGCACTGCGAGAAGACGGGGACGCTGTACTGCTTTGTGAGCCTCCTGGAAACCCTCTTTTCCAGGATGCCAGCACACTCTGGGATCTTCGAGAGGACACCCTCCTTGATGCAAGACACGTTGCGTGTGGCGGTGATGACATCCTTTGAGAGAAGCCTGAGGAGGTCTGAATCTTTTGGGCCAGTTAGCATTTCCCCGTTGCAACTTAAGGAGCGGGTGGTCCTCCTGTGATCCAGACCGTTCTGATGGCCGTAGGTGTCAGAAGGCAGCATTGCATTCTGAGGTCTAGTAGCCATATAGGTAATGTGCCCGGCCTCCTGAGTGTCGATGTTCCCCCTGGGCTGACACTCCAGGGTGCCCTGCTCCTCATCCCGTGCTTCGACTCGATCCACCATGTCGCTGTGGGCCGTCAGAACCTCCCCAGAGCCACTGATGATTCGGTCCACAGCCTTCTTGGCTAGGATGGCAGTAGCAGTGTGGTGGATGATATCCCAGTCCCGTACAATGTCCTCTTTGGTGGTGAACTGGGACGTGACAGTGAAGCGGATAACTAGCTTGGAGGAGATGACGGCAGGAATGAGGTACATTGTGCCTGACTTTGTCAGTTCTCTCAGAAGTTCCTGCGTCAGAGAGTTTCCTCCCTGCATTTGGATGAGATAGGGTTAATTTTCCTTGGATCTCTATCCTTCACAAGCAGGTTGTAAACCTTTCCCCCATTTAGTGACTTTTTTTTATTTTTTTATCCCTGAGGTCATTCACCTGTGGTGCTCAAAGATCATCCGACAATCATTATCCTCTTCAGTTCATTATTGTACCATATCTTTCTTGAGAGCCTACAAAACTTTGTCCTTTGTGTACAGCAGTGGTCTCGTTTTTTTTTTTTGCAATGTATTTAAAGAGCTACTGAGTTGCCACAGTAATTTTTTTGACTGGGGGGTGAAGTGGTCCCCCTTGATATCTTGATATATTTTGCTGGTTGGTGGCAGCAGCAGCATGAAAGTGATCGACCTTTTGATTGTGATCAACTGGTCGGTGCCCACTGGTGTAGAGTAATAATAATCTTTACTGTTTCTCAACAAAGGCTAAAGTATTGTTTCTGGCATATTCCCTCAGACCCATCTTGCCATTATGTTCATTCTCACATAAAGCTACAACATACCTTCAAACAGAAAACCACCAAGCCAAGGTGTCTCTGAGCTGGAATTTCAAAATTTGGATCAGCGCTGACAAAGGACTCAAACAGCTTCGCCATGTCTATGCCCTGAAACAACAGGAAGGAGGAGAACATATTTAAACACCACCATTAGTGTAACGGTTACCAAATGAGACAGATTACATGCTTGCAGCGTGACGGCTCCAGTGTAATGCACCCGTAAGTGCTTTTGCCTTACGTGTCGTATGTGCTCCTGCAGGTTCCTCACTCCGAATGATCGCATCACAAACCAAAGCTTCAGTGAACGGAACCGGCGACTGAGAGGAATCTGCCAGTGCTGGGAGAAACAAACAAAAAGGACTTTAAGTGGTGGCAGGCAGAGTCACATAAAAAATATTACCAGGGTCCTTGAAGGGAGCCGTGATGTACTACCTTTGAGGGGAGACTTGCAACAATAAAAAATTCTAGCTATACGGATATATAAAAATTCTAGCTGTAGTCGTAAATTTTAAGGACTAATTGTAATAAACTGAGTGTCAGGATCCAAAGATTCCAGAATGAATGTAACACGAAAACACAGCAGTAACACAGAAGAAAGGGACCAGTGTCATACCATAAAATCAGTGGCAGCTCCAGAGTTTTCATGCCTGAGATAGACTGGGTCCACAGTGAAGGTCTGTTGAAGCTTGTACTTGTCCTTGACCCTGCAGCACCAGCAGAGTGTCAAGATTAATCACGTATCAACTATCTTGCACTTATCTTAGCAGCACTTGTACCTAAGTTGGCTCCTTGAAAGCAATATGCTTGTTATATTTTACCTGCCTCTCTTGCATGATGCTTTGAACAATCCTGTCTGTCAAATATATCTAAAAGTAAATGGATCTTGAATGGGTGGGATGGTTGGATAAAGCGATTCTCTTACCAGAAGGCAGTGCAGTCAAAATGGACCATCATCCATTTGGAGGGGTTGAAGACAAAGGAGTCTGCAAAGTCAATGCCATTCAGGAAGCCGCGCAGCTCGGGGCAAAGGAAGGCGGAGCCGGCATATGCAGCGTCCACATGCAGCCACAGGCCTTCTCTGGCACCTGAAGAGCAGGAGATCGGGTCACGTGATATTGGCTCCACCCTCAGGCTGATAACAGCATTAATGCTACTCCTGTGCTTTCACAGACACTGAAGCTGTTTCTTAACACCAAGAACGCAAAAATCGTACTTGCAGTCTTGGCAAGACCAGTCTTGCTAACTTGCCTCCCAAGATTGAACTTGGTGCAGTGCATCATGGGATTGGTTTTGTTTGGTGAGGATGCAACCAGTGCATCCTTGATATTTGGGGTGGGGCAAGAATGACATTTGGGGGGTTTTTACTGTTTTGCATACTTCTGTTTTCAGTATTAGAACTGGTCCTTGGCAATGGAAGATGGTGTAAAATATATACATGAGAACAGAAAAATACCCTAAAGCTGGCTAGGCAGTGCATAGATGGCAAAAGAGAAGAAAATATGAACATACACACTGGTCCCAGTTCAGACAAACAGTCAAATGAACACACTCCTGTAGTGCCCAGAGTCGCACAGAGCTGTCAGAAAACAACAGGAAGGTGGAAACAGGGCAGGTTTAGTTACACGTATCATAGGCAGTTCATAGTGTGCATCATAACTGAATGGTAAGATTGAAGCTTACAACCTACCAAGACTGGTACTAGACCTTTCCTCCGGTCTTCCTCAATCGCTGTCTGCAGCGTTTCCCCACGGAGGGAAAACTGCTCGTCTGTGGGCAGGAAGCGGATTTTGACCAGGGAGATCAGACCTGCCTTCTCCACAGAGGAGTGAGCCTAGAGTGCGGAGCAATAACAGAGTGTTAGGCTGGCCGTCGACCCTGAGGATCACCGCCGACGTCATAAGGCCAAGTGAGGCCATGGCATGATATACGTCACGCTAACAGCCGTCAGTCCCTCCCCGCCACATCTAACCTGGTCAGACGCATAGGCGACCAGCCGAGAGTTCAGCACAGAGTCGTCAGTGTCCGCCTCTGTCTCCTTCAGCTTAAGGATCTTTGTCTTCCTGGCTGCAAGCAGAGAGACCAAGGTGCACTCGCTGACCGTGCTCTGGAAGACATGGACACAGGGGGGGCTTTTTGTTATGTTAAATATGTCAAATACAACAAAACAGCCTAAAAGAATTACATGATTTTCTCCTAAAGGCTAATTCAACACCAGGAAAGACCTTACTACTTAAATGACAGTTACATCCTTTTAATTATAAGCTCTGTTTACATTTAGAGACTCATTCCAAAAACATGAAGGTAACAATGCTTGCAGGAACTCTAAATCCATAAACACTAGTGTTACATATAGAGAAATAAAAAAAATATATTATACTACATATACATTGCAACCATTTCACCCAGTGAATGTTTACTTATATCACTGTTTCCCAGTCTGGTCCTCGGGGACCCACAGACAGTTCGCGGGGAGTTGGGAGGGAGCAAAAATGTGGACTGTCTGTGGGTCAGGTCCTGAACTTTCTCGAAGGACACAAGGAGCAAGTGGAACAATATCAATACATCATGTTTAACATGGTGTTCTCCTGCCTGGAGCGGGAGGGACCTACCTGCAGCATTCCTCCCCCTCTGCTGCCAGCGTGGTGGTGCAGAAAATGGGAGGGCAGCCCCAACGCCTTGCAGAGCCAGTCCAGAACATTTATCTCCAGCTCAGTGCAAGCTGGGCTGGAAGCCTGCAAAGCAGAGGTGGAGTTTGGGTAACCAGTATGTTCGGCTCCGTAATTCTGACCAAGATAAGCAATAACAAGATGGACAGACGGGAGGATGGATGGATGGATGAATCATACATGGATTTGGAGGGGTGGCAAGAGCCAGCCGTGGTATTCCTAGACTGAATCCCCCCCCCCCATTGGCCACCCCCATCGTGTTTGCTTTTTTTTTGGTTAAATCAAACTTTGAATAACCTTTTACTCCATTGACTCCGTACCTGTTTCTCTGTATTGGTGATGATTTACTGTACTGATAAGGAATAAACTCACTGCACTGCTGAGCTAAACATGCTCTCAGAACAGCAGCAATGCAGACGTTTGGGAATCTTGTGCTTAGTGTACGCTTGTTACCTTAACTGCAAGGAATTGATATATTAAATGTTTATTTGATAATTCCACCACTGCCTGAATAATAAACAATGTAGAGTTATAGTGTCTATGTGCCTTAAATGTTCCCTTATTTTCTAGATGCCTTATATTCATATTTTGATTTATGTGCCGCCCCAAAATGACCTCTGGTCCCACCCCAGCCACCCCACTGAAAATTTCCTGGCTCCGCCACTGGGTTGGATGGATGGATGGATGGATGATATTTTAGGTGTTCAAATATGGTCACATTCTTGTGTTCAGCTTTCAAAACTGTCCCTCTTGACTATATGCTTCATTGTATTTAAGATCTTAGCTTGTCTGGAGAAACAAAGACATTAAGCGTGCAAGACAAACAGCCGCCTGTTCGTCAGCTTGAGCAGCTCGTCGCTGGAACCTTCACCCACTTACCCAGGTGAATCCAAGGCAGTTAATGGCATCTGCCAGCATGTCTCCTAGGAGGGAGGGCCAGGAGTTGAGAGCGGGGAAGTAGGCATGCATGTACGGGCTCTGCCAGTGTACTACCTGGAACATGGTGAGACACAGCAGCCTGAACAATCACCATCCATTAAAGCCAACTCAGGTGTTCCAGCTTGCTTAGCTACCAGCATCAACTACAACCACATCAGACCTTCCAGAAACCAACCAACTCCAAACATTACAACCAACTCAGATGCTTAAGGATCACAACTTCAGCATTAAGGAACCTACAAAGCTGGTACAATTTTTACAAGATAAATATTTCAGAATTATAATATAATATAATATAATATAATTTTCATTTCCAATCCATCAGAAAACAGAACTATCTAGGAAGCCTCTACCAACTTTAACTGACCATCCATCATGATTGAGTTTCCCAATCCAGATCTTTTTTCACTGGTACCAATTTAATTTAATCCAGAATGGTCCCTGTAGCTCTCCGGAGCAATGTTTCCCAGCCTGGTTCTTGGGGACCTCCAAACAGTCCATGTTTTTGCTCCCTCCCAAACAGTCCATGTTTTTGCTCCCTCCCAGACAGCCCACGTTTTTGCTCCCTCCCAAACAGTCCACATTTCTGGGAGTTGTCAGGGAGCAAAACCATGGGCTGTCTGGGAGGGAGCAAAATTAGCGGGAGAACATTTCAAACTGGATTTAAGGAAGCACTTCTTTACACAGCGTGTAGTCAGAGTAAGGAATAGTCTTCCTGATAACGTAGTGCAAGCTGAATCCTTGGGTTCCTTTAAATCAGAGCTAGATAAGATTTTAAAAACTCTGAGCTATTAGTTAAGTTCTCCCCAAGCGAGCTCAATGGGCCGAATGGCCTCCTCTCGTTTGTATAGTTCTTATGTTCTTAAAAACGTGGGCTGTCTGGGAGGGAGCAAAAACATGGGCTGTCTGGAGGTCCCCAAGGACTGGGCTGGGAATCACCGCTCTAGACCTGTACAACAAAATGAATTTTCTGAGAGCATGATCATAGAGGAATACATTGAAACACTTACCCCAGGCATTATTATTTTTTCAATGTCATGAAAGATTTCCTCCCAGTTTTCTGGTTCTATGGGAGCATTTTCTGGAAGGAGGCTGCGCATGTAACCCGGCTGGACATCAGGGCTGACCCGCCTAAGCCTGATCTGGGTCAGGTATTCCGTGATATAGTCAATGAGCTCTTTGCCTTGAGTGCAGAAAACAGTTAAGTTAATAATTATCAGTTATTCTGGGGACATGATAATATAACACAAATACTCCTCTATGATGAGCATGACAAACATTTACTTCAAAATTTTTGATTGAGTGCCTTCAAGTCCCACCTTATGCATTAAATGTCCCAGTGTCTGGCATTTTGACCACATTTCACATTAAAAAATATTTATCAGAGACACATATACTGTAGCAACAAGACAAGAGAAACGACAAAATAAATGACAGATCCCTTACCTCTGCGATTGTACTCCGCAGCCTGCATTCTCAAGAGTCCACACTAAAATCAGACACGATGTACTACAAGCAAGGACTTTCCTGGGTGGCTGGTGTTTTTTTTTTGTGTGTGAAGGGCACACAGGTTTTTATAGGCCCACTTACACCCAAACCGTGACGTCATTATCATTATAGAGGAGGGGAACAATCCTATCAATGGCCCACAGAAAGGGTCTTGGAGATATGAGAGGTAAATTTGAAAAAGCACATGCGTCATTTTTGGTTTGACATGAGTCAGTTTATGTAACCCTACCCTTCCCTTATTTTTCAGGAAGATTAATCCAGAAACCCACCATTGCCCACCATTTCTTTGGTCTATAGATTTTAATCACAATTACCCATTGGTATCCATCCAGTACCTAGCATGTGGCTTTGGTATGCTTATTTATACTGAATATTACTATGCTTGGGATTGGATTAGTCACTGGTCCTTAAAAACAGGTTGTACATAACTGAAGATGCACTTGTATTTGATTTATTAGTGCTGGACTGATTTGACCAGTTGTAGAATCTCTTCAACCTCCATTTTATTAGCTCCTTTAGTTCAATAGTTGAAGTATAGTTTTGTGAATTTTGGGAACCCGGTTGTACCTGATATCGGAGCTAGATCTTCATTACTAGATCAGGCTGCTCTTCAAGGAGGCATCAATCACTAAATCAATTATGATTCACCAGTTTTATAATGCAGCAAAAATACTGCTCATGTTGTCTATCATTTTGCTTTTAAATCGCACTTTGTCTTGACAACACTTTGCCCACATTTCTTGTTTACTAGGTTCCTATTTAAAATTCTTACACCATGTCTATTTGTGGTGCACACAGCATGCCCTGTACACAAATAAAAATTGGATTCTAGGTGATCAACAAATATTTGAAATATATTACCCATTGGTTAATTATTGGTGGTTAGTATGTACTTAGGCACATGGGATATGCAATATTTACTTAAAAGAAAAAATAATGTCATGGTGATCACTGCAGAGGGCCGGCATAGCATGGGAAAATTCACATATGGTCCCATTTACCTCAGAGACATAGAGGGCACAATGAGCTCTGGTTTGATGCACCAAGCTGCCTACTGCAGTTTGTATACAAAAATGGGGAATCGTCAGCAGCTGACGGCAGCTGTCAAAAGCACAAAAACCAAACTACAGGTCTGGCGTCATCGGCTCTGAATGAGCATTCAGGTACACGACAAGCATCTTTTGCCTTTAAGATGGAAAATGACGAGACGTGTATATGTAATGCAATTTTCCCACTATATTTTTCATTTTAAATGCACAGGAAATTTAAAAAGCTGTCTGATAACGGTTCACACTGAAAATTAAATCTTTTTTTTCTTTTTTTTTAATAAATGGCTGCAGTTACAGAAACACCACAAATCCCATGCATCCGAACAGAAGACTTAGTGTGGATATGAGATTTAGTACAAATGGTTTGATGGTTTCTGTAGTTCTAAAATCACAACACAAAATACATATAAAACACATATAAAAATGTATGCGTCAATACAAGATTGAATTTTTACCAGGGCAACATAAAAGAATTCCATTCTCCCATAATGTCTTAAAGAAGGTATAACTAAATATATAAAAGGTATACATTTTAAAATATTTGTTTTGGGAAAGGGGGAAACTTCTGGAATTAAAGACTTTTATTTTATGGACATTAATGGATAAAATATGTACATGTAAATCTATCCTTCAATTGTTTCCTTCATTTTAAATGCTAAAAAATATTTTATTTAAAAAAATGAACAGTGGAGTAACCGTTTCCACCATCCTGTGTATCTAATCACCTAGGGATCTGGTTAGTGGAGACCACACTCCAAAAGAGAGACTGCCAGAACGGTGACCCTGGTAACAGTCGCCACGGCATTCATAGCAGAATTCCTTTTCCCGGATTATCCTGAAAAAAAGGAGGTCTGCTGTCTTTTACTTTTCAAGCTGAGGGAACCTTTTCTTGTAGTGTGCACATTGTCAGGTAGCTTACAGACTCATTACGGCCCACTGTTTCACAATTTATACAGCTTTGACCCATTAAACAATGGAGGGGAGGAAAAAAAAAAATCACGCGTGTTTTCAGAAAAAGCGTAGGTGAACAAAGTCAGCTTCAACCAAGTCGATCCGGAGAACAGAGGCTAGACCTGCAGCACCACCTGTGTTACAAAACATATTTAAAAATAACCATCCACTATAAAGAGCAGGGAGGCAATCCGTTAAATTCAGTCAGTTTTTTTTTTTTTTTTTTTAAACAAACGGACGCCGGTAAGAGCTCAGGAACCCATCAAAGCACCCTCGGCTAACGTGGGTCTTGAAACCGTCTGTTGCACAGCTGGCGAATCGCTCGGCAAGCAGGGCGAGGCCCTCGTCCCTATTGCCTAACGTAACAGACAGTTTTAGTGTGGTTCCTCCAGCACACTCCGTAGACAGAGCTGAAGAACGACGGCAGCTCTCCCGCTGGCTGAGCGTGTCCCTCCTGGGGTGGGGGTGCTGGTGGGGGCGGCTCATGCAGCCTTCTTGCTGCTCTGGTGACGGGTGATGGCTTCCAGCTTCTGCCTGTACGCCTCAGCCTCCTGTTCCTTCTTCAGAAGCTGCTGCCGATATTTCTGCGCTTCCCGATTGGCCTCCTCTAACTGTTTTTGTAAGGTTTCCTTCTCCTGGAAAAACAATTTTCATTTTCGAGAGGGAAACAACTTGAGTCTAACAGAAATGACTTTCATTCTTAAAAAATCTCACAACACAATTGTGGGCAACCTTATACTTCAAACAACACCCTTGCTCATGGGTTCAAAGAAGCACGCACCTTGGCTGACTCGCCACAAACATGGTGCTTCAAAGCTGGCAACGGGTTCTCTACACTAACCTGGCTGTTTATATTAAAAATTCCAGACTGTGTGTTTGCTTTCACTGCTCCATGCAATGGCAAAGCTTACTACAGCTCCATCAAAAAAATCAGTAATTATCCAGCCCAGATATATGCAATTAAAAATGCTCATCAATGCAACTTTCATTCATCCTTTATCCAAAAATACAGACAATGGCTCTGGGACAACCCATACTGCAGATAAAAAAGGCTTCTGCCGCACAATTTGTCAACAAAGTAGCTAAAACTGGATAAATATTTACATTTCCACTATTGTTTATTTTGTAAGCACTGTTTTGATCTTCTTCCCTCTCTGACCATTAAAATTCAGAATAAATATCCCGCTAACAAACAGTATTTCTACACGTTCATCTGCTGTTTGCTGTGAAACACTAAGCAGGTGTTAGGTTGGTGTTCTCCCTCAGAGTTAATTGTTTTCAAACAGATCACACTATGAAATCAGGATCGAAAGGAGGAAGGTTCAATAGCTCTGAGAACGAACAAGGTTTGCTCATTACTTGTACCATTTGTTCAGCTGCTCTCCTGAAAATAATGTATTTTACAGCCAGTTTTGATTTGGCTGACAAACATTCCTTATGTTTCAAATGTCCCCTACTCCGTAGTAATCAGCTTCTTTCAGGTAACAGAAAATGAGCAAGGAAGGGGAAAAAAAAAATTGAGAAAACATATTCAGCAATTGTTTTATTGACATTTTATTTGCAAAATATACCGCTCATCTTGCAATAGCTATTTAATGTCTCTGACATCAGGACAGATTTTTTTTTTTTTTTTTTTACAATGTTAATGTATTCTTTAAATACTGATATCAAAGTAAAAAAATAGATACATTTTTACACATTCTCCGTCACTTTTCCCCTCCTTTGCATTCTGAAGTACATTCCTTTACTTCCTCAATTATACAACCACTGCCTCCATTATATTATCTGGGGTGTTCATATTGTACCTAAAATGACAAAACCAAAATGTTAAAATAGAAAGCTCAGCACACACCAGTGTTCAGGTCTATCTGACTTGAACCCTGGCCATGTTGTTTTAAGCACACCAACAGCAGGTTAGCCATTTGCCTTCCATGTCTTTCTGGCTCCCACATGTACTCAAGACCCATTTCAGAAGCTGAACACTATTCGCGCAAAAAGCAGCTACTTCTGCACACATCGAAGGTTCTGACAAGCGATCCAGCTCAGTTGTCAATAAACAGCTCGCCACCTATGATGCGGAACAGAAACCAGGCCCGGTTTCAGCTTACCTCGATTTCGGGGCTCTCTATGTGGTTCTCTATGATCTCTATGCGCTGCCGTTTCATTAATGGCTCTTCGCTGATCACGGTCTCCTCGGCCATGTCTGTGGCTGGCACTGTGAGAACTGAACACATCTGGCATTAGAAACTGCAGCTCGATCTTCATACTGCCCCACTACTACCATTTGCTATCATAAAATGTTAACTAATACACAGCACATTCCAATAAAGAGTAGTACCAAATGCCATCATCAGTTTACTTAGCAGTGATTCATTAATCCAATACTAAACATATCATGAATATATTGACATCATAAAAAATATATATATATATAATTTTTTTTAAATTATATCAATATAAATTCATTTCATTACGTGGGTTTGTAAAGAGTGCACAAAAACAAATCTATTTGCACTGCCATTTTTTCATAGACTAATAACTACCGTCTGATTGGAAGGACATTCAACTGAATTCTATCACTTCAGCATATCGTATGTCAGTCTTTTTTAAAGTGTTTGTTTGACACAAGGGAAAAAATCAAAGGGATGATTCAATTCCTTTTTTAATTAAAAGATTTACCTTGTTGGCCATCAGGCATTGTCACTATTATGGGCTGGCCAATCCCACTGGCCGTCTGCAGGTTGCCAAGCTGTATGCCATCTGTTACTATGGTGATGACCTGCTGACCCCCTGAGCTGACTACCTGCTGAATGGCACCGTCCACAGAGTCGGCAGTCACCACCTCTTCTGTCGCGACGACTGGAAAAGAAAAGAGCTTCACAGGAAGTGTACACTGGCTCCCGTGACAAACTAAAGTCACGGAACCTAGAAATCCTTACTAATATATACATGCTAGCTAAAATTTTTACCAAAGAAAAACAGAAGAACTTGATGGAATATGAAAACCAAGATTTTTTAAAGATTTTGCATGTTTTTCAAATCCTAATACTATTTACTTTATTTCAGCAGACAATGTTCACTGAAATGAGTCACTGTAAAATTACCAGTAATAATGCTGCAAGCCTGTGATCAGACACAGGTCCGAAACATGCAATGGCTTTAAAACATCCCCGAATACGCCAGGGATATCATGCTTTGATGAAACTAAAAGCTCTCAAGTATAATTTGCCATAGAGCAACGTAAAAGCAAATCCAGTCTATTCTCCACATGGAAACCTGCCCTCTGGATGGCATTCAAAAGGAGTTTTACAGGCTGTTCTATGCTTAGATCAATAGTGATAACGAAAGGTCAAGGACCGCATAATGCAACGCTCGCAATCATGTGGACGTCCCTGCCCCGGGGCTCCCCATCACCTCACTTAACCACAAACAGGGAAAATGCATTCATTCACGCTAATCCTAATCTCCATTGAGAACTCACAAAACCAGCCATATGGAAGTAAAAAAAAAAAAAAAAAAACAACAACAAACAAGACAATGGACAACACTGACCACCTTCATATGAAAAACCCATCACATCTCAGTAGATAAACAACATGTACGATTCTGAGATTTACCAATTAATTCATAACAACCTGTTTCTGACTTAATATTTTCGAATATTTTCGAAAGTTTACATCCCTTAATTCTTGCAGTGATATAAACGCTACAGAACAGCACATACTCTATTTGAATAAAGCCCTCAAGAAAATAAAATATATTCTCATATAGTCTCTGATACCTTTACACGTGCCAATGCAAAAACTGAATGTCAATGAACAATCCACCAAAAAATAATCAATAAATGAATGCAAACACAATGCAGTGGTAAGAAAATAATGCAAAAATAAGATACGTTATCTAAATTACGTTCTAAACAACTTAACATAGAGTACCTTGTGTTTCGGATGAATTGGATAAAGGGGTGGACGCTTCCGCTAACGCGGCTAATGTAGCTAAAACTGATGTTGAGGAGTCGCCAAACTGTAACGTTGACAGACCCGCCTCATCTAAGAGAAAATGTGACATCAGTTAGTGAACATGTACGGTCACCTGTATCCTGACAGAGAATCTTGGCACACACATACAGTGGACTTTAAGTCCAGTAACAACTGGTTAAAAAACCTCAACAGAATAAGGCCACCTTATCACATGGCAGACTGGCTGATCCACAAATTCATGCCATTTGGTCACTAGTTTTAGTTATTTTTTCTCTCATTTCAGTTCACGGCACTCCTTTTATGCACATGCATAAAACATTTCCAAAGCTTGGATTTCTATTTTACTGCTAATTGTTCAAGGGACACTACTCTAGGGATCCTTAACCCTTTAAGCTTAAAGAGATACCTGCTGATTTGGAGGAATTCCCAGCAGAGACAAGGCCTGTCAGGTTAACCACCCCTCCAGGTCCGATTATAAACTGTGGCGTCGTGGTGTGTATGGTCACAGTGTCTGGACTCTCAGGATTGGTGTTTATCTGGTTCTGCATAGACACCTGGGGGACAAATTACGTAAGTTTTAAAAGGTTACTCTCATTCTGCGTGAGCAACAGCCATCCACCTCCCACAGCTGTTTATCCAGTAGGGTCGCAGTGTCCCCTCAGTCTGTGCCTGGAAGTACAGGGCACAAAGCAGGAGGGACACTGGACAAAATGGCAGTTTTATTAATATCTAATTGGCCAATAAAAATTGACGTCTACCTGGAGGATCTCAGCCAGCTCCTCGTTTCCGTTGTCGATGGCGATGTCCAGGGCGCTCTTGCTAAATTTGCTCTGCGCGTGAACATCGGCGCCGTACTTTATGAGCAGCTCGACGACGTCGCGATGGCTGTGCTCTGAGGCCCAATGGAGGGCTGTCATCTTCAGCATGTCCTTCGCGTTGACATCAGCGCCATGCTTGAAACCAGCCACAGGTCAGAGGTCGCCCGTGAGATAATGGGGGATGCCCCTCGGGTATGTTTTGACAAAGTCACATGGTGGCCCAGTTACTGGGTTATCATCGGTTGTCTTTAATGGACGGCAGCCACTGCAACATCAAAGTAGCAACCCCTGTCCTACCCTGCCCCCCCGACCTCCCCAATGCCTGCTCCCCAGAACATTTTTACAGCAATAAACATATAATTCATGACAAGGCACTCCTCTCTTGCTAATTTCACCTGGTGTGTATTAAGTTCTCATTTTGTTATATGTGGAGAGACTCATGTTCAGGGCGCTCAGCAGAGGTGGCTAATCCAGGTCCAGAAAGGAAAAATCCAGGCCCAGATTTTGTTTCAACTAACCAGTCGAGTATAAAGAGTTACAGTGACAGATCACTCAACTGGTTGGTTGAAATAAAATCATGGCCCGGATTTTTACTTTCTGGACCTGACCTACCTACCCACCCTTGTGACTCAGGCTGCAGGGCCAGCCGTCATGGCCGACCGGGTCCACACACCACAATGGGGAACCCGAATCAAAAGCACTTGCTAGTCAAAGTTAGTTCTACGTAAAGGTGTTACCTTCCAACGGGCACAACGAGACGCACACGCACAGCCATAGGGGAGACAGCAGGGAGGCTAATTAGCCGTAGCTTCCAGGCGACTGGCACTTCTCCGGCTGCCTTACCTTCAGCAGCACCTCCACGATGCGCGCGTGGCCCTCTGACGCCGCCATGTGGAGGGGCGTCCTGTCCACCTTGGTCCTGGCATCCCGGCTGACGCCTGCCCGCAGCAGGACCTCTGTGGTGGAGTAATGGCCGTACTGAGCAGAGAGGTGCAGGGGGGAGGTTCCCAGCTACAGGGGGGAGGTGGTACAATGAGAACGCGCTCACAGACATGTCGGTAAGCAGGGATGCCATCACTAACAAGGCTCTATGCACCACTACATAGAATACAATGCTGCGTCATGAGCACCACTCAACTCTAGTATAGAAATATTAATATATTAATAAAGCACTTCTGCTACACTGGCGAAAATAAGCCTTTTCCCTCCAAAGGATAGGGGTACTGTCAACATCCAGGTTTACTCACCCAGTCTGTCGTGAAGGGGGCTCCATTGGCCATCAAAATACGGACCTCGTCATCCTGACCCGATCGGGCAGCTTCTAGAAGCTTTTTCCCCAAATCCACCAGGGACATCTAGTGTTGATAAGGAGATATTCACTTCCAGCAAGGCACACTTTGTCAGGTACTGAATCAGCCTATAGCTGCAAGTTAAACAGTATGATACCATATTGCACAAAGCATACAATGCATGTATATTTTTATCTATAAACACTCAACATAAATTCAATAAAAAAATTCAAATGAATACAATTAATAAATGTAATGTAAGTTAACTGTAAGACTCTTGACTTAATGTAGCTCCTAATTAAGGGAGTTATTTTTTTCAGTTGTGTGTGCCAGGACTGACATTTAAGTGACTGACTGTGTGCCAGGACTGACATTCCAACTGCTCACCGAGGTCAGGGTCACAGGGTGGGGCTGGGGGGCCGGGGTGGGGCTGCATACCCCAGGCAGCAGTGTACATAAGTTAAGCAAGCACCTTTGAGAAGGTGCCAGTCACATTACAGTGCACACGCTCAATCACAGACTATGGGGAATTTAAACACACCAATTCACTCATATGCATGTCTTGGACTGTGGGAGGAAACTGGAGAACCCAGAAAGAACCCAAATGACACATGGAGGACCTGCAAGCCCCACACACACGGAACACTGTGAATGTGTTTTAACATTAACAATACAATCAGGTATGTACTGTGAAAAGAGAGCGCTTTGAAATACTTGTAAGAAGACTAACAATCTCTGCGTGTTTTATTTTATTATAGCTGCAAAAAACAAGGTGAAGGCAACACTATGGTTCAGAAATGTCAGTGGCGTTTCTGGATAAGCACATGTGGAAGGTGGGTGGGTGATGCCAGGTTGATGGTTTGCTGGAATTAAGGCATCACTGTTTCTAGATTGAGCTGTATGGAGATTTGGGGTCCTTCCCTGATGCTTATAACAGGACACGGTTTGGACTGGACTTCTGTATACTAACCAAGGCTGACATATGGGACCACAGAAAGACAGTCCTGGGGTGTCTTAAAGAAATAATTTAGTATTTATGAATTCTAAGTGGTTCTTTTTCAACTGTACATTTAAAAAATACAATTCCAAAGGTTAAGTGGTATCATTAAAAGCTAAGAAATATGCTTTAAAATAAAATGCCATACTACATCGACACACTGATGTAGTAAACGTTTTGCATAATCCAACTTTTTGGAAGATGCTTCAAAAATGCTGTTGTCCATTAATGTAACCTTCCAATTTTTTTTCCTTGCGGAATCAAACTCCGATTCTTCCTGGACGTCTGGGAAAGGTTATGGAAATACTAATATACAGTTCTTCAGAAAATCGAAGATCTGGTTGTATGGTTTACACTGCATAAATGCCTAAATAATTAAGCTTTGGCTCCTTAAAATGAGAGCTTTTCTGAGTAACGAAAATAATACTATTTACAGTTTAGATTTGGATGCTTGTAGGTAATTAAGTTTTATGAACGTCCATATTTGACAAAATATTTTTCCTGCAATAACATGTAAGAAAACATCATAAAATGTACCACTCGATGTAAGTGATCTGGATTTTTCTGAATTGACACAAAAATAGAACTTTGCTGTTTAAGTAGATATTCATCTATTGAACATGATTCACTGCACTACAGTCGTGACTGCAGAACAAATGGACTCACACCCAGTCAATGCGGTCACTACCCACGGAAAACCCTTCGGGTGGTTTTAGTTTCATATATTTAAATGTACATAAGACGTTTTGGCATGTTCTTTAATATTAACTTGGATTCATGATAATCATGCTTATAAGTTAATTCAGATTTATTCGGGGGGATTTCGCGTCTGCAGGGAAAGGGGCGCGAAGAAGTAGGCATGACCAAAGTTGGGTAAATTAAATGACGGTGATAAATTAACCATCCCCGATCCAGGTCCGCTCAGGACCACGACCGGCAGGCACGGCGTCCGAGGCGCGGCGGCGGGACCACTTCCCCGCTTTTAAGAGCGACAGGCTCACGGCACCCCCTGGTTCACTACAGGCCACCATTTTCTACCACAACAACAACATGAATGCAGGCCCCCTCCCCCCTTTTTAAACAAATCCAGGAACAAAATGCAATCTCGCAAAAACGTTTTAAACACCGTTAAACGCCGGTAACTCCGGAAACCTGGCAAGTTAATGCAATAAACAGGAAATCGGTCGGATGATCGGGGTTCCGGGGGAAGTGGAATTATTTTTGTACCAGCAAAAGAGATCAACTTCCACATCCGGTGGAGCCGCATAAAATACCCCGACACTGACCTGGAAAAGCTTCGTTAATGCCTGACATGTTGACTGCAGCCCTGTCCTAGCCTTACCTTTTTCCGGGTTCGGTAAAACAAGCGTGCAGTATGGCAGACCGCCGGCGGCTCTTAGGGACACGGGGGGTAATTCTTTAATGCCGTCTCTTCGACGCTCAATTTTTTTTTACTCAAAGAAAAGTCCCCGTATCCTGCGCGGATGTATACAGATCTGACAGGGTCACTATTTCCACCACTTCGGCGCGGCAGTCGAAGTTGAGTCGCCGTGGCCTTGACGGGTAACCTAGTGCCACTTCATCTGTGGTGGTGCAGTTTAACATTGGATGGCAATGTGCGATAGTTTTATGTTTTTTTCGTAGCGTGGTAACAAAGGAGACCATGTTGAAATAAGTATGCAGGCGGAGTGATACACGGCAACCATTTTGTGCATGCGCTCTATGGGAGTGTAGGCAAACCGCATTGCTGAGGGGTCCAGTCGCTCTGCCAGATGGTTAGTTATTCAAAACCCCATTGCTCCCCCCCCCCCAAATAAATAAATAAAAATAAAAAAAAGTTGGAGTCCGATCTTCATAAAGTATTGGTGTTGAATATTTTTTGTCAGTAAACTGGCAAAATAATGCATTTGTTAAAATAACATATGGATAACATATATATATTGAGAATTAAACCTCATATATACATTTTCCAACAGTTTTTAAAAGTCACAGAACACTTAGAAATTAACGTGTACATAAAGTGACCTGGAAGCGTAGCAAACATTCTGCGTTTTCTGACAGTTCGCTGATAAAGTTGGCACGTTTTGAATATGACGTCACGTCTCGTGCGGTAGGATTTTGGGGGCTCTTCCGGGAATCAGATGTTCGGGGGGAACCAAAACAAACCATATATTCGCTGCTAGTGACACAACGTATGTATTCCGTTCCTTTAAGATATTCTTGGAATTAACTGAGCCGATATGATGAAGCACTTTATGTTTTGGAGCATTGCTAATGCATGTTTTACTGTAGTTATGTTTTTTTGCATAAGCTAGCCTAGGTTGTAGCTGTAGTATGTGTGGTGTTTCCTGGATCAGTACTCACTGGGGAGTGATCGCCCAAAGTTTTCTGGGCTAAGCGTCTTGTCCTTAACGGTGGGTTAAACTAGCTATATTTTGGCGCAGTTTCTCTTGTAGTAGGGCCCTTGGGTACTTACTGTCGACATATTGTAGGCTGTCCGGTTACGTTAGTTTAGCGACACCAGTACTACGCAGTGCTGTTTTTGACCAGTGGACTTGCTGGTAAGCATTACCCTCCGATGTCGTTGGATTAATTAAATGAGATGTTAAAATAGCGATTTAGTGTAAAGGTTTTCGTTAATTATGCAATATAAATTAGTAGTTTCTAAGATTGGCAGAATATTAAAAGTGTTATACTAAAAGCAACAATTACCTGGTGTATCGGTTAATACTTCACCTATTTAGATTGTAGCTTTGGGAAATGTACTGCCGAGCTTGGTACGGTCACGGGTACGGTAGAAGTGAAACTTGGCAGATATTACTGTCAGTGACGGATAACTTATTTACATGAGGAAGTAAGGCTGTTAGTTTTATGAGTTCGCTTCGTTTTTCCAAATATATTGTGCATATATGCCAGGCGTTGAAACTAGCATCTAGAATTAATATATACAACAACGAAAGCCGAATTAAATTAATTGTAATTATTATGTTTGTTTTCATATAGGTCAGTATTTACCTAAAAACGAGCATGTGAAACTACCTGTCCAAGGTCACTAGTAAACCCGCAAAGATGCCGGCTGTAACATCTGGGGTGAAGGAGTTGTACCTGTCGACCTCGTTGGGAGAACTCAACAAGAAATCCGAAATTAAGCCAGAAAAAACGAGTACGCGGAGGTATGTGTGATAAGTTAGGTGTTCTAATGTAATGTATTTATATTATGGCTTCACTTGTACAATTTTGCATGTCTCCATTATTCACAAATTATTATTCTGTACAAAGGTTTTCCGAACAAGATAGGATCCGTTCTGTGGCGTGCTTTAGAATGGCTTTATTGAATGTCATGGTGTTCGTCAACACAGTTAAGGGGGTGTTCGGTTGATGTATTTCTATTTTTCTGACTTTTTTGGCTCTATTGCGGCTGAGAGTTTTTTATGCCTATTATTTTACGCGTATTAAAGCTATGTCCAGAGTGCCTGTAAAATATTTAAAGCGGCGGAGGAGTATCGCCTGGACAGAGATGAGGAAAAGGCCTATGTGATGTACATGAAGTATCTCACCGTCTACGATCTCATCAGAAAGAGGCCTGACTTCCGGCAGCAGAAGGTGACGTCCGACTACACGTGTCAATGGCATATTTACGACTGATGTAGGGAAACTAACCATGTAACCTACAGACTGTAAAACAAATGCAACTAAAATATTTCTGTCTGAAGAGTGGTTTTAATGTCTGTTCATATAAAGTCAGTTCTGTCTAATTGGCATAAAGGAATTGCTTCTGTTCTGTTAAATAAACTAAATAAATACATTTTCTTTTCCCCCCCCAAAGGATTATTACCTTTCGTTGCTTGGTCCAAATAGCTTCAAAAAAGCCATAGAGGAGGCAGAAAGGCTCTCTGAGAGCCTTAAACTAAGGTTAGACCTTGTACTATTACAACCATGCACAATGTTATTTGGGTACATGATCCTGAAAATGAGTGCTAACTGGCATCTTCATGAAATGTTATTTTGGGTAATAATGTCTGAGGTCTGAATTTAAAGAATGTATAGTAATGGCTGCTGGGGTGTTTATGATGACTTTGCTTAACCTTTTTAATAACTGTGTCCCTCGTGGAAAGGTATGAGGAGGCTGAGGTACGGAAAAAACTGGAGGAGAAGGAAAAACAAGATGATGCTAAGAAGAAAGAGGAAAGTTCAGAAAAGGAGAGAAGAAAGGGCACTTTGGACAAGGCGTCAGATGCCAAGAAGGATAATGTAAGCCTCTCTGTACTGCCCAGCCATGCCCCGTGGATATTTACAATAACAACCAGCTTGGATAAATATGTTTGTACAGTCAGGCCTTCGTATCCGTGGGCAATGGTGTACAGGACCCCTACAGATACCGAAATACGTGGACGCTCAAGTCCCTTATATAAAATGGCATCGTATTTGCATATAACCACGCATCCTCCCGTATACTTTACGTAATCTCTAGATTACTTATAATTGGAACTCTCAATTTTTTCCCCAAATATTTTCAATCTGTGGTTGCCTGAATCTGTGTAACCTGGGGACACGGAGAGCCGACTGTGGCTATGGTGACTGTATGGTGTCATATTGTAGCTGGTAGATATAGTAGCAGATTGTTATTGACACAAATGTAGCAAAATATTATAAGATTCACATGTAGTACTTAAAAGTACATTTGCTGTATGCAAAATAAGCAGGAGTAGTAACCTGTCATTTATGCTGTTGTGTTTTTAATATGGTTTAATACTGTTTGTTTTGTCATTGTTTTGTGCTTCAGATCAGGGGGGATCAGAAGGATCTGAAGAATGAAACTCCAAAAGGTTAGGATGCTGCTCCATAAAGTGTTTAATCCCCCTGGCCAACAGAACTCACATGACCTCACCTGTTCATCCCCCGCCCAATAGGAAGTGCCCTCCAGGGTGGAATCAGTGCCCAGCAGCTCTTCCAAATGACGAAAGATAACACCATGAGTGTCATCATCATGGATGCCAGGAGCAGCAGGGATTTTGAGGAGTCGCACATCCAGCTGCCGACACAAACCTGCATCAGTGTTCCGGAGGAGGCCGTGCTTCCAGGGTAAAGGCAAGACCTCCGGAAGGGGTCCTAATGCCTTTCAGAGCCGTCCAGTGCTGAATCCTGTCACTTATTTGGGTTAATTCCTGTGTTGGCTAGATTAATAAAACTTGAAAAGTGATCATTCTGGCACGGAGGTTGGCGCTGTTGCTTCCCAGGTCCAGGAGGTTTTAATCCCAGCACAGGTTTCCTAAATATTGTCTGTAAAGTGTGTGTGTGTGTGTGTGTGTGTGTGTGTGTGTGTGCGCGTGCCTTCTATCCCCCCACCCCAGACCAGTATAGGCAGTCAAAAGAAGGATGGACATGTGGAATTCTGGTTATATGTAGCACAACAGTAGGACCACACTCAAGTGTGCCGGTGTCCTCTTCCCCAGAATCACAGTCGATCAGATCGCAGTCAAACTCCCAGAGAAGTCTAAGGAGCAGTGGAGCCACCGGGGCATCGCGGACTACGTCGTCCTGCTGGACTGGTTCAGCTCAGTGACAGATCTCCGGCTGGGCACCACCCTGCAGAGCCTGAAGGATGCCCTTTACAAGGTGAGTGGGTAGCCCTGTGCCAGTCACCCGAAGGGGAGGGGGGCTGCCTTGAGAGGCCGAATGGTGTGGAAGCTGACCCCCCGCCACCTCTGCTTTTCCCAGTGGGACAGCAAGACCTTCCTCCGCAGTGAGCCGCTGGTGCTGGAGGGGGGATACGAGAACTGGCTGCTCTTCTACCCAATGTACACGTCCAACGCCAAAGTAAAACCACCAAGAGCAGAAACCCGGGGTGACGTCATCCCAAGATGTAAGTGTGCATGTCTGTCTCCAAGCAGCGATTCACGTCAACCACGAGCATGTATCTGCTCCCACAGCCGTGTAATACATGCTTTCTTTATATTATTACATTTGCCAGCTTTTATCGTTTATTTGTGTTATCTCTGTTGATGTCAGTGAACTTCAGCTACCCATCCCTCGAGGAGCCCAAGCCGCCAACTCCACCCGAGCCAGAACCGGAACCGGCGCCCCCCGTGGAGATAAATGGGAATTCGGCTGCGCATGAAACAACGCAGAAGGTGATGGAGGATGTGCCGGAAACACCAAAGGTGGTAACTGCATCCCTCCCATCTGATGTTCCTTCAAGCCAGGCGGCGGAGAGTCATCCAGCAGGTCCCACCAAGGTCATTCCAAAGGTACGTGCTGTTAGCATGTACGCTTAGCACCGTGTCCCCTCTTTCTTTTTTCTGGTTCTATTTCTGTCCCTCTTCCTCCAGTTTGACCGCACCAAAAAGCCTTTGGTCAAGGTGTCCGACGGTACCAGGCCAAACGACGAGCTTCCTGCATCCCAGAGGCCGACTGTCGATGGCCCCATCATCCCTGACCGTTCAGTGAAGCCCACCTTTGATCCCAGGGGCTCCTTGAGCGAGGAGGAGCGAAGCCGCATTCACGCTGAAACCTTTCTCCTAATGGAGAAGGCCAAGCAGGAGCAGGAGCAGCGGAGGCGGGAGCGGCAGGCGAGGGAGGAGCAAGAGAAGGAGGAGGAAGAGGAGGAGAGGCAGAGGCAGCAACGGGCCAAGGAAGAAAAGGAGCGGCAGGAGCAAGCGGCCAGGGAGGAACGGCAGCGAGAGGAGGAGGAGGAGAGGGAGAAAGAGAGGCAGCAGGCAGAGAAGGAGGTGGAGAAGGAGGAGCAAAGTGGCAAGGACAGGGAGGAAGAAGAGCAGCCTGGGCAAAAGGACCAAAGCAGCGGGATGCCAGACCGAGACCCAGGAGGCACAGCAGCCTCCAGCGGCACTGCTCCTGGACCCAAGGTTTGTCCTGCTGCTACATGACCGGCCCAGTCAGGTTCCAGCAGCCTCTGCTTAGAGTGTCACTCAAAACGCAGAAGATGGGTTTGTGGCAAAGCTCCGTGATCAGACACATGTAAGGAGGAGGGTGTGTTTAACTGAAATGTCTGAGAGGAGTTGGGGCTAGCAGTGATGTCACACAAGGAAATTGTTATAATTTCACAAATCCTCCAGAGTTTCAATTATAAACCTCTACAATTACAAAAGCAGATGAACAGCACATTGGTCATATTTACACAGGCTAAACAGTAATTAAACTGCCCTAATGGGGGGTATTTCCCAGCAGGACCCAGTGCCCAGGACAAGAAATGCAGAGATGGGAAGGGCTGTCCCCGGACTGCCAGCAGGCTGGATGAGGGTAAAGCCAAGAATTGTTGCAGTTGGCCGTGTTTTTGCTCCAGATGTTTGATTTTCTGTCTATCTGCGCATGTTCTTACCATTTTCCCACTTTCAGCAATTAAAGGTATTTGTTTATTCCCACCAGTTTCTGGACACTGTTACTGGCACATACCGGTACTACCACTCCCCCACCAACACAGTGCACCTGTACCCACCTGAGGTGGGTGTGGAACATACACCCCCAGCCACGCCTCCAGCCACACCCCCGACGCCCAAGCAGAAGCAGGTGGCACAGGAGCCTGAGCGGGAGTGGTCCAAGCTGAAGCGTTCCTACTCCTCCCCGGACCTGGTACAGGACGTACAGAAGGAGGGTCAGAAGAAGCCTGCAGCCACGCCCACTGTCAACCGTGATACGAAGTATGCACCCGTAAGCTCGGTGTCCTTTCTGATGGCCTCCAGTCTGCTCCGGTGGTTCAGGGATGTTGCTGTTGTGTGGTTGCAGTACTCACGGCCTCAGAAATGCAAATACATGAGAAAAACAGAATTACGGGAGCCAATTTTTGCCTATCAGTATGGCTTGAAAGACGAAGGGAAAGGACACTCACTTCCATGTTTTTTGCTTCAGGCCACTCAGCATCACAGCCTACGCCAAAGCCGAGATCTCGCGGCCATCAGCAGCCAAGATTATGAATCTCAACCCTGTGTTTGGCGGGCTTGGGCCATCTCTAACAGGCCTGCGCAACTTGGGCAACACCTGCTACATGAACTCTGTCCTGCAGTGCCTGTGCAACACAACAACCATGGCCAACTACTTCAACAAGGACTACTACCATGAAGACATCAACAGGTGCGGCTGAAGCCAGATCAGGCTTCCTCTATACATCCTCCATCCTTGACTACCCATTCTACCTCGGAGCGATTAACACACCTTGTGTTTCTCTGTGGTGCAGAGCCAACATCCTGGGGCACAAGGGCGAGGTGGTGGAGGAGTTTGGCGTCATCATGAAGGCCCTCTGGTCCGGCCAGTACAAGTTCATTAGCCCCCGCGACTTCAAGGTCACTATCGGCAAGATCAACGATCAATTTGCCGGCTACGACCAGCAGGACTCCCAGGAGCTGCTGCTTTTCCTTATGGATGGCTTGCATGAGGACCTCAATAAAGTGAGAGTCACACACCTAAGAACACATATCATGACTTACAAAACTCCACTTGTGCAGGGAGGGGGTGATGAGCTCTCCACCCCCCCCCCCAGTGCTGTAGATAATCAGACACAGGTTAAGGTATTTCTCAGATGTGAAACTCATATGGTTTGGAAAACTGTCCATCGCTGCCCCAGAAACTTATCTCATTAGCACAGTAACTCAGAACGTATTTCATGGATCTTGTTCAAACTTTGTAGGCAAATTGTATGGGTGAAGCAATTAAATTTTGAAAATACTGAAATTGACACAGTGCTGCTTAGTGGCAGCTAAAGGAAGGGTGACCGCAGAAAACCCTAACCTTTTAAACATAGCTCAGAAAAGTATTTTATGGATTTTATTACTGCTTCAGAAAAACATTATGTGGATGAAAATCTACACCTGATTTCATTTTGAGACAAATCGAAGCCGCAGCACTAGGTGGCAGCAAAAGAAGGAAAAGGCAGCTGCAGAATACATTTGTCAGACCTAAATTGTAAGGGTGGAACTAACCAAATTTTTAGACAAATTACACCAGAACTGAAGCAGGGCTGACTAGTGATAAGTCAGGCAGCCTCAGACACTTAGTATTTTTCGTGCGATAACTCAAAAGTATTTAATGGGTTTCCAAACTTCCCAGGTCATGATCTCGGATGTATTTCATTTTGAGAAAAAAACATCACCAAAATTTACGCAGTATCACTTAGTGGTGGCAAATAAAAGGATACACACGGATCTGGGGAACTCTGGGGAACGTTGAGATAAGAAGAGTTGGGCTACTAATGATGATTTTTTTGGGGGAAGTGGGGGAAGTTTGTAGAGGGGCAGTTGTAGAGGTTCTAGATGATGATGATGATGATGATGATGATTGTGGGGGGGGGTGGTCTGGGAGAAGTAGGGCCTAGATGGGGGAGGGAGAGACGGGGCTCTCCGGGGAATACATTGTTATCATTCTGACAGCATCTGGTTTACGAATTAAAGTAATGCCTTGACCTGCTTTTCTTACATGTTTTTGACGGCATTTAATTTTCTCCTTTTTTTGGTGTTCGTTTTTATGGCCCAATTAGAGAGTAAGTAAACCCTGTAGTGTGTGTGATTCTGCTTTCTGTGCTGTGCGTGTCTTTCATATGTTCTGTCTTGCATAAGAGAAGTCTCCTGCATGCATTCACGCCCTCCACCAAGAACATGCATCATGCCTGATTTCATCTGAACTGGCCATGCCTGGGCTTGATGTTGTTTTCACTGGGTACCCATGGAAATGAGGTGGAAGAGTTTCAGCTGTTCAGTGCCTGAGCAAGTGGGTCAGACCCCATCTTGTGTCTGCCATGCATTCTTAGGCCTACTCTCCATCCCATAGAAAACATTCTGCGTGGTTTAGAACAGCCACTGTTCTTACTGTATTGCATCTGGACGAATTAGATCACTTTTTTCCCTTGGCTAATGATAATAGCAGGTGTTCTGCACTTCAGAGCTCACAAGAACTGCAGCATGGCTATAAGGATGGGAAAGGATTTTGAAGGATCAGGTTGTGTATTTTAAAGGTTTTAAGTTCCAGATGGTCCTGGAAGTTGATGAAAGGTGATCTTAGGGCTGACGGTTGACTTTTTTTCATGGTTTGACTCTCGGTTGTTCAGATGTCCATTGATTGTTTTTCCGTCTACACAGGCTGACAAACGCAAGAGGTGCAAAGAGGAAGCCAATGATCACCTGGATGATCACAGGGCAGCAGAACTGGCCTGGAACAAACACAAGCAGCTCAACGAGTCCATCATTGTGGCACTATTCCAGGGCCAGTTCAAGTCCACTGTACAGTGCCTGGTGTGCCAGCAGAAGTCGCGTACCTTTGAGACATTCATGTACCTGTCGCTGCCCTTGGCCTCCTCCAGCAGATGCTCACTGCAGGTAAGGCCGCTAAGCTGTGATATGGTGGATGCTGTGCCTACAGGTCTGGAAACTGAGCTTTTTAAAAACCCTCTCTCCACAGGACTGCTTGAAGTTGTTCTCTAAGGAAGAGAAACTGACAGACAACAACAAGGTGTTCTGCAGTCACTGCAAGACACACCGAGATGCCACAAAAAAGCTGGAGATCTGGAAAGTCCCGCCCATCCTTCTGGTGCATCTGAAACGGTATGGCTTAGCCCTCGATCTGCTGATAAACGGCATTGGTGCCTTATACATACTCGTTTAACATTCATTTAACAGCTTCTTCTGTCTCCTTAAGCTTCTCCTACGATGGAAGATGGAAACAGAAGCTGCAGACATACGTTGACTTCCCCCTAGAAAATCTGGACCTGATGCAGTATGTTATCGGGCCAAAGCAAGGCCTGAAAAAGTACAACCTCTATGCCATGTCTGTGAGTATGCGCGCCTTCAGAACGACTTTCAGGTCTGTCCTGGCACCTTATGCAGTGGAGTTTGATGGTAAATTTTCCCGTGAAACAGAACCACTACGGGGGCCTGGATGGTGGCCACTACACGGCCTTCTGCAGGAACACGACCAGGCAGCGCTGGTTCAAGTTTGATGACCATGAAGTGACTGAGCTCTCAACATCCTCTGTCAAGTCTTCTGCTGCCTACATCTTCTTCTACACATCATTGTAGAAGGGGCCGGACAGAGCGAACATTAGCGGACCTCTACGCAAGGTGAAGGGGCAGAGGTGGAAAGGTCCATCAAGTTGCATAGCACCTCCACGCACGGTAGAAGCTTTGATGGTCACCGGGTGATGTTCTTCTCACTGATAGTGCGCATGACTTGTGCTGTCAGCATGACTGATCTGCATAGTTTGCCTTCACTAACTAACATCACTCAGAATATCAAAGACCCTGGTTCTTTTTATTGCTGGGATCCCTTAATTTTCTTGTTTTCAGTTCTGATGGCCTTTCTCTTATCTGACCTTATGGTTCCCTGTGCTGTGAATACATTGGATCAGATAACAATAAAGAGTTGTATGTATTGCACATACCTACTGCAGATGTTGCACATTAAACCTGGATAAGCATTACAAAGTGCTGATTGTTTTATGGAGAGTGAGAGTTTTGTTTAATCTATTGAGGAGGGAACTCTGGGGACCATGTTTTTGCAGTATGACAACAATTTTTTGTCTTAATTTGGAGTGTTTGCTTTTCCCTTGCGAAGAAGGGGCTCAGCTAGTGTCTGACAAGTTTTTTTGTTTCTCGTGTTATTAAAGATGCTGTTCTTTACCATAGGGAAATGGAGTTACTAATTAAACCAAAAGCAGAAATACTCAGTTTTCGTATCTTTCAGTCTTTAAGAAGAATATGAAAGATTGTTTTGTGACACTTTACTCGAAGGGGTACAAGTAACTTAGTAACTCAGTTGCTAGTTAAGTACAAATCATGAACACATATTTTTACCTGCATGTTAATGATAAACATGGGAACAGTAGGTAACTAACACTTAATTTCTGGTTCATTAATACATTAAGTAAGAGTGTACTACAACATTGTGCCCCCTCACTTAAAGTGTTTTCTTAAATGTCACTTTAAATTTTCTTAAATCTTTTTCTTTTTTGAAAGATTTTATGTACATGTTTCCCAGTAAGGCTGATGTGAGAGCAGGGTGAATATTTACGATGGGTTCCCTCCTTACAAAACATTGCAATTTAATCTTAAAAATTCCTCAGAAATTAAAAGCATTTTTGGTTTTGAATACGGTTTTGGGTTTTAAAATGTTTATGCACCATTAGAGCAAGTAAAATCCACAAATATGAGGAGACTAAAGGAACATAGAATTGTATTTTTTTTTTCTTCATTTTTTAACTATCTTCTCAGTGTGAAAACAGTTATGTTCTGTTTATCTATTATGTATGTAATCTGTTTCTTTAAATGCTGTGAAGATACTTTCAATTTTTAATATATACACTAATATTAGACTGGGGAAAATGAATATGCTGTGTAATTTGTCTGAATAACTGCTTCTGTAGCATGCCCACACGGTGGCGCTATTGGTAATGTATTGTTAGGGTCTGGTGTGTGGCTAACTGTGCTCATCAGCATGTATCCATATGTAAATGGTTTTCTGCTGTGGTTCTGTCTACTGGGAGATATTTGAAGATGTAAATGTGCTAGTTTGAAGAAGTTCAGGCATGTACAACACAGCTTGACTGTATGACACCCACGGCACCAGACAGGAAGTGTGACTGACAGAAATGGGGGGTGTTTTATTTGCCAAGCCCACTATAACCTTCCATTATGTCAAGTGGGACCCACACATTCATGTAAACACATTATTTTTAGTTCACAACATCATTACGTGGGGGGTGGAGTCACAGTTCTGCAATAACAGGCCAATGCAGGTCCTGGTGGCTGTAGAGCAGGATGTAGGTATTGCAGGACTGAATTAGATGCTCCTGGACCTCACTCACAGCTGTGTCGTCAAACGAGTTGTTGAGACAAGGCGTTGTAGCTGTAGGCTGTACACTGGCCTACGTCCAAGTCACCAGAGAGGTTCTGTGGGCCACAGATGTGTAAGTTCACTAAAGAAGGACCAAAGAAATCCTCTCTTAGCAGAAACAATAAAAATGTGAACCGTGTTCCACCATTGAGAATCTGCTATATGCAGCTGATGGACTACAAGAGAAGATGAAGAAGGAAGAGCTTCTTATTTTCATCTCCTCAGAAGTAAAAATTCCAAAGTTGGCATTACATTTTCTATAAAACAGTTCAGGAGACCGGTGTGGATGAGAAGAGAAGCATAGAGCTGAAGGCTAAAGCCAATAACTACATTTTTATTTCTATTTTGGGGTCTGGACTGTAAAGTTAAGTTTGGGAGTATATAGGTACTTGGGTGTGTTGGAGAATATCCTTGCTGGTAGGACAAATGTATGAGAAGAGGATTCCGAGAGGTGTAGAAATAGAAAGCATAGAGAGGCACTCTTGGCCAGGGGGAATAAAGAACAGGTACTGTTTGAGATGCAGAACCAGGAACTCTGCGGGGTCTGCTCCGGGCAGTGAGCATCACGGTGTCCTGTCTCACCCCACATTTGGGACACAGGAGGTAGTCGGCTTGGGTCAACATGTTAGGCTGGTCAATCAGCCTCAGAGAGTCCTCTCATCATGTGGGGAAAAGAAATCCTGATTAGACAACTCAGACTTAACGTACATTTATGCAGGTGTCCTCTTTTCCATTGATTTTCTTATGGATGGCCTGACCTAGGAATGTTAGCCACGTGAGACCATGCAGTCTACCAGGTTACTGCCGGCACGGAGGGCCCCTGACGCGATGAGGAGGTGGGCTTGTGGAGGGTGTTCAAGAGGACGAGCCGTGTCCCCTGGGCGTCTTGGTGACTGCTGCCGTCAGACGGCGGGTACAGAGTACATGCCGCCACCCTCATTTTCCATCAGACCCACCAGCTGTGCAGCTCCAGCCAGACCCTCCTGCATGAGTCTCAAGAAAGTCTCAAGCCTTTTGAACAGTTTCTCCACCCGGTACTCGGAGACCCCCCACACGTTGTTGCTTATACTGGGACTTGGGAGGGAGCAAAAACGTGGACCGCCTCGGGGGTGCCAGAGGACCGGGCTGAGAAACACTGCTGTAGAATATCTGGCCATATAACAAACAGGTTTGTACCCTATATTCCTGATAAGAATTCTCAGATGAATAAGAATGACTTGCATCCTATCACAGCAGATAGTTGAACACTGAATTATTGGCCTGTGTGGTCATTCTGATTTTTTAAACCTAAACCATGGAGGCAGAGGACATGGGACAGAGCAGCTGGGTTAAAAGCCACCAATATGACTGAAAAGCCGTGTTTACAAGCCCTGGAGAGGAGAAGAGAACATTCATTGGCTGACAGCCATGTTGCTGATGCTTGTCAAAACTTGTCCTTTCAACTGGCCAGCCTTCAAATGATGAGTCCATGTCCATAATGGCTGTGTTACCCACTGCACCGTGGTGCTGAGTAGGGACTGCCTGTTGTAGTCATGCTTCCAGCACAGAAGACCTGGAACTCCTCTGAAGTATGGCTGAAAGCCACAAAGCAAAACTGCACAGCTACCCACAATGCCCTGCTCCAGCTGCCGCTTTAGTCAGTATGTCCTGCCTACAGCAGTCACATTGTGAAGCTGACCGGCAGGCTGCAACGTCCCAAATACACAGAGCACCAGAAAAACATCTAAATCATGGCAAACCTCCAGTTTGCCTGGAAACTAACAACCAAGAGCCACCCACACGCCTGCCGAAAGCCTGCCATTTACTGCAGAAAGATGGGCAACCTCTTTGGCCAGGCTTCCCTTGGAATCATTCAGCAGGCCAAAAAAAATCACTAACAAACCCTAGTAAAAATCTTAGTCAACTACACATAAAAGAAGACTGAACATGTACAACCTACCATTTCTTCACTGACATGGTTTTTCACAGGCAGTAGATTCCAGTTGTTTTTTTGTTTACCACTGGAAAAAGGTTTACTTATATACTTATATACACTCACCTAAAGGATTATTAGGAACACCATACTAATACGGTGTTTGACCCCCTTTCGCCTTCAGAACTGCCTTAATTCTACGTGGCATTGATTCAACAAGGTACTGAAAGCATTCTTTAGAAATGTTGGCCCATATTGATAGGATAGCATCTTGCAGTTATTGGAGATTTGTGGGATGCACATCCAGGGCACGAAGTTCCCATTCCACCACATCCCAAAGATGCTCTATTGGGTTGAGATCTGGTGAATGTGGGGGCAATTTTAGTACAGTGAACTCATTGTCATGTTCAAGAAACCAATTTGAAATGATTCGAGCTTTGTGACATGGTGCATTATCCTGCTGGAAGTAGCCA